CTCGGCTAAGGGCTTTCATCCCGAACGTGTCTGCGTGGCCTGAGCGGGCCCGGCCACTCACTCTGTGTACCAGCCAGTGTGCCATTGTTTATAAAGCCAGTGAGGATGATTCCACGCGTACCTGCGATATATTTTGTATTATTCCAGTGTTTTTAGTGCTTGCAACTGCTAAATAAGCCACCATGGGCCCCAAGAAAGTTTCTAGTGCCAACCCTGTGGTAAAAAGGGTGAGGTGTACTATCGAATTAAAGGAGATAATCGCAAAGTATGAGAGTGGAGTGCATATCTCGGACTTGGAAAGGTTACATAACAAACTCCATTCAACCATCACTACTATCTTGGCCAACAAAAAGGCAATCAAGGAAGCTGTTGTTGCTAAAGGTGCAAGTATGGTTACAAAACAGAGATCGTAAATACTTGAAGATAAGGAGAGACTGTTGTTGGTTTGTGTTGGTTTGGATAAACGAGAAATAATTATCAGGAGATAGCGTTTCTCAGTCAATAATATGTGAAAAGGCAAGGCAGTTGCATGTGGATCTCATTAAGAAAATGCCTCCAAATAGTGTTGCTGTTAATGAATTTAAGGCCACCAAAGGCTGGTTTAAAAGATTTAAGAATCGTAGTGGCATACACAGTGTGATAAGGCATGGTGAGGCTGGCAGTTCTGACAAAAAAGTGGCTGAAAAATACGTGCAGGACTTTAAGGAGTACATAGACACTGAAAAATTAAAACCCCAACAAGTGTTCAATTGTGACGAAACAGGCCTGTTTTGTTAGAAAATGCCAAACAGGACCTACATTACTCAGGAAGATAAGGCACTCCCAGGACACAAGCCTATGAAAGACAGGCTAGTTTTGTAGTAACACTAGTGGGGATTGCAAAGTGAAGCCTTTACTGGTGTATCACTCAGAAACTCCCAGAGTGCTCAAGAAAAACAATGTTGTCAAGACTAAATTGTGTGTGATGTGGCGTGCAAACAGTAAGGCATGGGTCACTAGGAACATTTTTGTGGACTGGTTCTATGAAGTGTTTGGCCCCACTGTGAAAAAGTACCTCCTGGAAAGTAAATTATGACTCAAGTGCCTCCTGGGAATGAACAATGCTCCTCCTCATCCTCACGACTTGCAAGAGCAAATTACGGGGGAGTTGAGCTTTATCAAAGTGAAGTTTTTGCCTCCTAATACCACTCCTTCCCTCCAGCCCATGGACCAGCAGGTCATTTCAAACTTCAAAAAACTGTACACCAGTGTTTCAAAGGTGCTTTGAAGTGACCTCAGACACTGAACTGACCCTAAGAGAGTTCTGGAAAGATCACTTCAGTATCCTCAGTTGCATAAACCTTACAGGTAAGGCTTGGGAGGGAGTGACTTGCAGGACTTTGAACTCTGCCTGGAGAAAATTGTGGCCACAATGTGTACAAGAGAGAGATTTTGAAGGGTTTGGGATTACCCCTCAGGAGACAATGCCAGTTGTGGAATCTACTGTGGCATTGGGGAAGTCCATGGGGTTGGAGGTTAGTTGCGAGGATGTGGAAGTGTTAGTGGAGGACGATGATAAAGAGCTAACCACTACAGAGCTGCAAGAGCTTCAGGTGCAACAGCAACAGATCACAGCTCAGGAATGTGTTTCAGAAGAGGAGGAAGAGGTGGACGAAGTTGCCTTCGTCAAAGATTAACCCTTTCAGGGTCCGTGCCATAGATCTACGGCTTTACGTTGAGAGTCCAAACCGTAGATCTATGCCATGAGCTCAGCTCACTCTGATAAGCTGTGAGCAGTAAATTTGGGTCTAGATATGAGAGAATACATGTATGTGGTATGTATGCCCTACATAAAACAAATCCTGCAGCACACAGTGCATAATGAGAGAAAAAAAAAGCTGAGACCATAATTTTCGATTAAAACAGCGATTTTGCAGTAATTTTTTATGTTTTTTATAGTTGTCATATTCGCGATTTTTTAGTCTCATTTGATAGAATGGAAGATATATTACAGAAATAGAGTTGATTTTGATTGGTTTTAGTATTGAAAATGGCTTGAAACTGAGCTCAAAGTAGCGGAAATGTTAAATTTTTGCCAATGTTCAAGAGTAAACAAATGACCTCACACATCTAATACACACCAGCTGGTGGGTCTAATATACGTTCACAAATGTGCTGATATTATTTATACAATTATTACAATACTGCATGACAGTAAATTTTCTATTTTATGGTTTTAATAAAAATTCACTATGCGAATTAAAAATCAAAATAAAATTCATTTGTAAAGCCTGAAAACATAACTAATGAACAGAGGAAATGTTAGTTTAGTGCCAGGAATGCCTGCATTGTTTATTCTGGACCCTATTTTGAAATTGGAATATTTTGAACTTTGCATTATATTGGCCAAATTACCAATTTCCGATCACTTTATTTTGTAGTTGAAACAGTTGACTTGGCGATTTCTTGTGCTCAATCAATAAAACAGAAGTAATACTAGTGAAATAGCTAAGAATTTGGTCAACTGGAATAATGTAATTGGCCTAAAATGGGAATCAAAGTCAGTAAAATTGCCGATGCGTAAATATCGCTGACACATCAAAATTCGCGAGAGCATAATTTCGTCAATTTTCCATCAAATTTCGTACTTTTTTGTTTTAGTACCTTCAGAAAAAGATTCTGTACCATTTCATAAGAAAAAAACAAAATTATTTTTTGAAAATTCTTGGATCCTGGTGAGCACTTTGAAATTTGGCCTCTGGACCCTGAAAGGGTTAAGGAAATGTGTACAATGTGGACAAAGTTGCAAGCATTTGTGGATGAATATTATCCTGACACAGCTGTTGCAAGCCGTATTGGCAACATGTTCAATGAAACACGTGTCCCATTTTAGGAAAATCTTAAAGGGACGCAAGAAACAGAGCTCTCTGGACAAATATTTTGTGTGACAGGGATCCAGTGACTCAAGTTGTTCCCAGTGGCATTAAAAAACCAAGAAGGGAGGTAATCCCAGAAAAGGACTTGGTACCTGAAGTCTTTATGGAAGGGGATTTCACTTCCAAACAATAGAACACCTTCATCCTCTCCCCTCCTCCCATCTCATCACTCACCAACAAGTCCGCAATAAAGGTAAGTGTCATTTCAGTATTGTTTACTGTGCATGTATCATTGTTTTCTGTGTAGGGAAATGTGTATTTCATGTAAAAAAATTATTTTGTTTAATACTTTTGGGTGTCCGGAAAGGATTAATTTGATTTCCATTATTTCTTATGAGGAAAAATTAATTTGGCTAAAGGCTAAATTGGCTAAAGGCTAAATCAGCTAAAGGCTAGCTCTCTGGAACGGTTTAAAGCCATTACCCGAGGGTCCACTGCATTAGGAGAGAAGTAAATAATGAAAATGATTGTTATAGAAATGCAGTTACAAGTCTGAGTAGATCTATAACCTACTACGATAGCATGAACATAGATAAGTACAGTGGACCCTCCATTTTCGTTAGGCTCTGTTTTCGTGATTTTCAGTTATTGCCGACTTTTTTCGTCAAAATACACGTATAGTCTCTGTTTTCGTTAATTTCCTCGGGTCCCATCAGAACTTTTTGTTAATTCCCTCAGGTTTTGCCGGAATGGATTAGTCACGAAAGCCAAGGGTCCACTACATGTTTATGGAGCAACTTGCAATGTGAACAGACTGACTGATGTTGTAGTGGCCAGGCTTAGGCTTGGTTACAAGTACGTCTGGCAGTTTGGGAGAGACACAGATGATGATCAAACTAAATGCAAATTATGTGGTCAGGCATATGGTCACTGTCTTGAACACTATGTGTTCACTTATTGAGGAATACAGAGACAGACAGTATAATAACCTATGTGACATGTCAAGATATTTTATTAATGAAAATAAGATACTAGATATACTAAGCAAATTTCCTAAATTTGCTTGTAACAGATGAGTGAACTGTAGATATGTAGATATAAATCCAAGTGTACACCTGTTTAACCCTTTTGGGGCCTAGTTCCTAGGCATTTTGTGTAACCATATGCTCTTGTGCTACCATCCACAGGATGGATATGGGGTGCACACTAAACTAGCCACTTTGGTGGCAAAATCAAATCAATCTATGTGGCCTACACTGACCCACACTATGTGGCTTCCAATGACTCACACTATGTGGCCTACACTGACCCACACTATGTGATCTACACTGTGATTCACATTGTGACCTACACTGTGACCCACACTATGTAATCCACATTATGTGACCCACAACATTCCATTAACATCCAGTCCTAAGTTATACTGTCTCCCCACACTGACTCATAGTATGTGACCCACAAGAGACAGTTAACAACTATATACCTATTTATACCAGGTGACCCCTCATGGGAGGTTCCTCAATGTTGGTGAGGGATGCTTCATCCAAATACTGCTGAATGCATGTGTTTGCCATTCCTGAATTCAACCTATTTGTTTCCTATTACCCACATCTCTGTATGAGCCCTATGAGTTTAGTGTTTCCCTTAATTATTATTATATTAATAAATTAATAATAACAACAACGGAATAATAATATTAGGTGACCATGAGTAGTGTCAGGTGTAAGCAGCCATCCATGCCTGTATATCTGAGTCTGCCCAGAAGTGCACCTCAGGACCTTGTGGTAGTGAACATAACACTAACAGCAGCAGGAATTATATACAAAACATCTTAAACATACCTAAAACTTCTAACTGGACATACCTTCCTTAGAACTTCACTGATGTGCTGCTTCAGAGAGGGTGAGTTAATATTTGTCAAAGGTCCTTAATTCAAGAAACTGGAACTATGCTGCTACAGCTGGATGGCAAGACGCCGTGTAGACAAATACAGTAAAAAAGACGGCGCAGAGCAAACCTTCATTTACAGTCTACAATTCACTCTACATAGAGCTTCACAATCCCCTTCTTGGGTCAACCCTGATTGCCACATTTATGAGGTTATTACTTCCTTATGAATATAAATAATAATAATAGTGGACTAACCTGTACATGAGGAATAGTTATAATATGCTGAGGTTTAAGAGTGTCGAAGTTATGTCTGTGAGCCAAGATGGCCGCCACCAGCCGCCCTTCTTCCTCCAGCAGCTTCAGTGAGTGACGCTCCTTACTTCTCAGTGGACCAAATGATCCCAGGTGCTATATATGTGCCGGGTAAAAGCTCATCATCATAATATTCTCCTATTATATATCAAAATTTTATATGACACACTATTTTAAATCAGTGGCCAATTATTATTTTAAAAATGTGTTTCTTTAAATTAAAATTAAAATTTATAACAAATCAACAAGAACAATGTGATGTACCTATGGCAATTAAAAACTGAACACAATTGGCATACACAAAGTACACATAGTATATAATACCTTCACTTGCCAAGTACTTTATCACACTTATTATTATAATAACATTAATTCCCTACTATTCTAAAAGATTAAGTTAGGAGAGGGATGGGGAACCTGTGGCCTTCTAGGGCATTAAGTGCAGCCTTCTGAATGAATTATTTTTCTTGAAGTTATTATATAATAATTAACTTTTTACAAAATAACCAACATCTGGCAGTATATCTAATAAAAAATTTCTTGAATTTGACCTTATTAGATTACAGCTAAATTTAATGTGACTCTCCAACACAAAAGGTTTGCACCCCTGAGTTAGGATAAACATAAGGATAATTTTCATTTTCTACAAAATAGGTGATATATCAATATTCTCAGTGTCACTAACATATGAAAAAAATTTAATCTTATTCTCAGTATCTATAAAACTCACAACCATTAAAACACTGAATGTGTTCACATTATGTTAATATGCTATGTCTAGTTTTAAGTAGCGTGTAAGCATTAGGAGTAGTCTGCCTTAAATGCCCCGGCATGTTACTGGTTTTCTTTGTACTTAACATTTTATAAAATGTAAATCATACACTATAACCTTTGTATTTGTATTTGATTACAACTGACAGACTTGGTTGACATAACTGGCACACTGCATGGAAAGTCCCAGGTTATGCAGGGCATCACAGGCAACCTAAGTTTTGTCTCTCAGGATACAACCCATACTGTTATAAGGAATTATTTTTTTTATTTACCTATATCAAAAAAATAATTCTTTTGTCATTCCTTACTTCTTTTTTTTTAACAAGCCAGCTGTCTATCCCATTGAGGCAGGGTGACCTCCCCAAAAAAAGAAACACTTTCACCATCATTCACACATAATAAGTGTCTTTGCAGAGGTGCTCAGAAATAACAATTTAGATGTCACTCCAAACAGCCAATATCCCAAACCCCTCCTTTAAAGTGCAGGTATTCAGAGGCGTCGCTAGGGTCTGTGTCACCCGGGGCGGAATCTTGGGTGTCACCCGGGGTAGCATCTTTGGTGTCACCCCCATGAAATCCAAGGGTGGGGAGATGGGGGGTAGTAAACTCCAGTTACATCAGCAAAGCATACCCAGTAACTAATGTTTAGCAATGAGAATGTTTACGGGCCATAAACTGAACAGGAGAATACTTCTCAACTTTATTAATGATAAAATAAATAATCATAGTAATATTAAGGAAACAAACTCAAATACCACTTTGAGTAGAGGCAACAGATCCTACATTTATTCATCTTCAATAATGCCCCCCCCCCCCCCCAAAAAAAAAAAAAAAACAACTTGAAAAATAAAGAAAAAACATTGCAATATCAGAGAAACACTAGTTCCGATTTGACCTTCAGTACGGGTAACATCTCAGTGAATCTGATCTTACATTTCCTTGTCTTCAATCCTGCAAAATCATCTATCACATCATCAAAATTAATGATTTTCCCTATATAGGCTATATAGAAACAAAGGATTCTTCTCTTATGTTGGTGTAGCACTGTTTTGGGCATCAGTGTCACCTTCTTTAGAGGCTCTATGGTGTCATCCCCTAAATGGTGTCACCCGGGGCGGAATGCCCCCCCCCCTCCTTACGATGCCACTGCAGGTATTGTACTTCCCACCTCCAGGACTCAAGTCTGGCTAACCAGTTTCCCTGAATCCCTTCACAAAATATTACCCTGCTCAAACAGCTTGTCAAATCCCAAAAATCATTCGTCTCCATTCACTCCTATCTAACACGCTCACACATGCCTGCTGTATGTCCAGGCCCCTTGCACACATTACCTCTTTTACCCCCTCCCACTATCCTTTCCTAGGACGACCCCTACCCCTCCTTCCCTCTACTACAGATTTATACACCCTCCAAATTGAAATGACATTTCTTGTTCCACTTCTCTGACCCACTTTCTCTCATCTTCTCTTACCCACTCTTTCCCTTATCTTCTCTTACCCACTCTTTCTCTCATCTTCTCTTTCTAATCTCTGCCACTTCTCTTTGCTGCATTTTCATTTTTTTCTTTTCTCTCCTGTTCAGTTTCCTTGATTATCTCAATATGACTACCTACATGAAGGGCATATCTGAGGTGTGTGTAACTACTGGCAGAAATTGTCAAGCATGTCGAGGTGAGTGTGTATGTGTGTGTGTGTGTGTGTGTGTGTGTGTGTGTGTGTGTGTGTGTGTGTGTGTGTGTGTATACTTACCTCTAATGGCTGTAGGGCACGTCTGAAGTGCGTGTACTTACCTCTAATGGTTGTAGGGCATGTATGAGGTGTGCATACTTGCCATTAGTAGTTGTAGGGCATTTCTAAGGTGTGTATACTTGCATCTAGTGGTTGTAGAGCATGTCTAAGGTGTGTATACTTGCATCTAGTGGTTGTAGATCATATCTGAGGTGTGTAAACTTGCATCTAGTGGTTGTAGAGCATGTCTGAGGTGTGTATACTTACCTCTAGTAGTTGTAAGGCATGTATGAGGTGTGTATACTTACCTCTAGAGGGTGTAGGGCATGTATGAGGTGTGTATACTTACCTCTAGTGGGTGTAGGGCATGTATGAGGTGTGTATACTTACCTTTAGTGGGTGTAGGGCATGTATGAGGTGTGTATACTTACCTCTAATGGGTGTAGGGCATGTATGAGGTGTGTATACTTACCTCTAGTGGGTGTAGGGCATGACTGAGGTGTGTATACTTACCTCTAGTGGGTGTAGGGCATGTATGAGGTGTGTATATTTACCTCTAGTGGGTGTAGGGCATGATTGAGGTGTGTATACTTACCTCTAGTGGGTGTAGGGCATGACTGAGGTGTGTATACCTACCTTTAGTGGTTGTAAGGCATGCCTGTGTATATCTAACTCCAGTAGTTGTAGAGTATGTCTGATGTAGGTGTACCTATTTGCAGTAGTTGCAGAGTATGTCTGAGGTAGGTGTACCTACCTGCAGTAGCTGTAGAGTATGTTTGAGGTAGGTGTACCTACCTGCAGTAGTTGTAGAGTATGTCTGAGGTAGGTGCACCTACCTGCAGTAGTTGTAGAGTATGTCTGAGGTAGGTGTACCTACCTGCAGTAGCTGTAGAGTATGTTTGAGGTAGGTGTACCTATTTGCAGTAGTTGTAGAGTATGTTTGAGGTAGGTGTACCTACCTGCAGTAGCTGTAGAGTATGTTTGAGGTAGGTGTACCTACCTGCAGTAGTTGTAGAGTATGAATGAGGTAGGTGTACCTACCTGCAGTAGCTGTAGAGTATGTTTGAGGTAGGTGTACCTACCTGCAGTAGTTGTAGAGTATGTTTGAGGTAGGTGTACCTACCTGCAGTAGTTATAGGGCACATTTGAGGTAGGTGTACCTACCTGCAGTAGTTGTAGAGCATGTTTGGGATAGGTGTACCTACTTGCAGCAATTGTAGAGCATGTCTGCAGTAGGTGTACCTACCTGCAGTAGTTGTAGGGCATGTTTGAGGTAGGTGTACCTACCTGCAGTAGTTGTAGTGCATGTTTGAGGTGAGTGTAGAGGAAGAGGTCAAGCTGAAGTGTTGCAGTGACCAAGGGCTGACAGGTGTCTGGAAGAGTTGAGGCAGCAAGCATTGCTGCTGCTTCCTTGTTTTTCTTCTCTTCACATGCCTGTCACAGTGACATACATTAGCTCTTACTTATTATTTGTAACATAAGATAAAATGTGAAATTAAAATAAATAAATAATATACTAATCACAAAATTTATATCCTTCAATCATTTTTTATAGATAAATCAAATCTCTCTTTAAAAGACTTTGGATGAAGTATAACTTTAATGCTGATAAATATATCTGAGTCAAAGGAAAGAGATAACCACATGTTCAACAGATCAAACCTTATATCCTCCCATTTCATGGAGGTTGTATGACCCATAAGATTCTGCACTTACCCATAATAGAGATTATAATAAATCAATTCAATTATTTCAATACGATAAAAATTTTAAAAGTTATATAACAAATATGGTACTCACAGCAGGATTGTCATCATCAAAGTCATCATCACATTCTGCATTTAGGAAATCAAAACATTCCAATGCCGACTCTACCGAGAGGCTGATTTCTGAGGTATTACTGTCTCGTCTACTGCGACAATTCTGAAAACATAATTTAGTGTAAAGATGCTCAAAAGGCCTCAGCCTTGAAGACAGTATCAAAACAATTATTGAAGAGAAGAGAATGACAAAATTAATGCTAGCATACAATTGATTTTATTGAGAAGAATGGGGATTCAATCTACTGATGATAAAGGTGCAAAGTATGGTTGCTAAGCACTTAACCATTTCAGGGTTTCTGACATACTAGTACAGCTTATGCACCAGGGTTATTGACGTACTAGTACACCTAAATTCTAGCGCCTTCAATTCTAGCGAGAGAAAGCTGGAAGGCCTACATATGAAAGAATGGGTCTATGTGGTCAGTGTGCACAGTATAAAAAATATCCTGCAGCATACAGTGCGTAATGAGAAAAAAAAAACTTTGACCATGTTTTTGGTTTAAAACAGCGACTTTGCACTGTATTTTTGCATGGCATTTATGGTTGTATTCTAGTTTTCCTGGTCTCATTTTATAGAATGGAAGACGTATTACAGAAATTGACATGATTTTGACTGGTTTCACAATGAAAAGTACTTTGAAATTGAGCTCAAAGCAGCAGAAATGTTTGATTTTTGCCAAAGTTCAAAAGTAAACATATCATGCCAAGTGTCCAATACACATCAACTGATGAGTCTAATATTCTTTCACAAGTGCGCTGATATTATTTATACCATTTCTACACTAATGCAGTAGTCTGCATAGCAGTAAATCTTCTATTTTTTTGTGAGAATAAAAATTCAGAGTGGAAAGCAAAAGAAATGTAAGAGGGGCCTGAGGATGTAACTAATGAACAGAGGAAATGTTATTTTAGTGCCAGGAATGTCTGTCTTGTTTATTCTGGACCCTATTTGGAAATTGGCATCTTTGGAAATTCATGTGAAATTGGCAAAATTGCTAATTTCTGACCACTTTATTGGATAGTTGATATCAGTAAATGGGTAGTTTCTTGTACCCATTCAATAAAAAAAATGGAGTTCTAGCGAAATAGTTATGATTTTTGCTGACTAGTACACTGGAATTGGCTGATAATAGGGCTCAAATTTGGCGAAATCACTGATGCGTAAACATCGTTGAGACCGCTAACTTCGTGAGAGCATAATTCCTTAAGTTTTCCATCAAATTTCATACTTTTGGTGTCATTATGATTGGGAAAAGATTCTCTTATCTTTTTATAAGAAAAAAATAATTTTTTTCCCTAAAAATTTTCGACCCTGAGAACAAGTTTAGGAGAGGGCCACTAGACCCTGAAAGGGTAAAGTTAGTATCACAGTGGAAAGTGTCATTAACCCTTTCATTGGTGAGAACTCTGATCCTAAACTCGCTCTCAGTGTCGAAAAATATTAAAAAAAAAAAAAAAAAATTCTTACCAAAATCTAAGAATATTTTTCTCATTGTTTTAAAAGAAAAAAAAATTTGCAATCAGTACTTACTGAGATATAGAGGCATGAAGTTGGCAGAAGTGAACAGCTTACGGCAGCATCGGCAACTACTGCTCACTCGGTAATATTATTTTTACTTTTATTTAATTTTTTCTTTTCTTTTCTAATATTTTATTTTTCAAGTAGCTTTTGTGGCCTGTGAGACCAATACAGTGTATAATGTATATACAACCATTTATTGTATGCAACACAATAACCGCACAAACATTGTTATCATTATATTGTTTACAAAACATGTTTACACAAACCCACGCTGCCTTCCCCACCACCCATGCTGCCTTCCCCACCACCCATGCTGCCTTCCCCACCACCCATGCTGCCTTCCCCACCACCCATGCTGCCTTCCCCACCACCCATGCTGCCTTCCCCACTACCCATGCTGCCTTCCCCACTACCCATGCTGCCTTCCCCACCACCCATGCTGTCTTCCCCACCACCCACACTGTCTTCCCCATCCCCCACATCGAAATAAGTCACTTTGTCTGACTTTTTTTGGGTTATCCTAGGTAATCTACACATATGTGTTTATACAAACCCATGATGCCTTCCCCACCACCCATGTTGCCTTCCCCATGACCCACACTGTCTTCTCCACCACCCACATGGAAGTAAGTCACTGACTTTTTTGGTAGAAGGGAGGTGGAAGGTTGATAATTGTCTGGGTTTTCAGCACTATTTTTGGTATCCTGGGCATTGCTTTCGGTCAAAAACTCCTCAAAAACATGAGATTCATCTTCGTTGGCACTTCAATCTGTGTTAGAACTGTCACTTGGGAAAGGAAGAGTCCCAATTCGCTGGGGAGGGAGGTATTCCTTACCGCTAGGTTTGGTGATAAAGGTGTACTAAATTAGCACTCCTGCAATGCGCTACGGCCTCCCCGATTTTTTTTTTGTACTGTACACACCGACCACACAGTCACATTCTCTCACATGTACGTCTACCAACTTTCTCCTGCTAGATTTGAAGCATCTAGAATTTTGGCTTATTAATACATCACCAACACCAGCTTGTAAGCCATGCCTATATGGCACTGACAGTGAAAGGGTTAAGCAGGGAAAGGACTGAGATTTTTTTTTTTTCTTCATTTGAAACTACATTCTGTTAATGTTCAAAATAAAATGTTTGCTTTCCTGACAAACTGAAATATAATTTAGAATTTATGTTTAACTGTTTGAGGGTTAAGACCCATGCTCACAAACTTGCTCTCAGGATCGAAGAATTAAAAAAAAAAATTTTTTTTCTTGTGAAATGATAATCTTTTTCCCAAGGTAATGAAACCAAAAGCACGAAATTTGATGGAAAACTTACAGAATCACGCTCTCACAAAGTTAGCAGTCTCAGCAATATTTACACACTGGCGATTTCTCCCACTTTGACCCCTATTTTGGGCCAAATTCATTATTCCAGTCAACCAAACTCATAGCTATTTAGCTAGAACTCCTTTTATTCTATCGATTGAGTACAAGAAATTGTTCATTTACCTGCTTCAACTACCCGATAAAGTGATCAGAAATTACTAACTTGGCCAATTTCACACAAAATTCAAGAAACGCCAATTTCAAAAGTGGGCCCAGAATAAATAATGTAGACATAACTGGCACTAAAGTAACATTTTCTATGTTCATTTGTCACGTCTCTACATCCCTCTTATATTACGCTTACTTTTCATTTTGAATTTTTATTCACATAAGATTTACTGTTATATAGACTACCGAATAATGGTAATAATTGTATAAATAATGTCAGTGTATTTGTGAGTGCATATCAGACTAGCCAGTTGATGCATAGTAGACACGTGACGTGTTTTATTTACTTTCGAACATTGGCAAAAATTGAACATCTCCGCTACTTTGAGCTCAATTTCAAGCTACTCTTAGTCTGTAAACCATAAAAAATCATCTCTATTTCTGTAATATGTCTTGCATTCTATCAAATGAGACCAAGAAACTGAGACTATAACCATAAAAAACAAACAAAAATATAGTGGAACCTCAGCTTACAAGTGCCCCACCATATGAATTTTTCAGGATATGAGCAGTCGCTCGGTCAATTTTTTGTTTCTGGATACGAACAAAAATTCAGGATGCGAGCTTCCCCCTCAAGGGAGGTTCCTTGATGCTGGTGAGGGGCTCTTGATCTAGGGAATTGTATCTGTGCTCCAGTTCCCTAAATTAAGCCCGAATGACAGTCCTGCTAACCCAAACACTGCCTCCACTGCCAGACAATCACTTAACCCAAGCTCAGGGAAATCAAGCTTTCTCCACCATAGCTACACAGTATCTATTTTAGTGATACTATGAAAGGATATTGCAGAAGAAACATCATCAGTAAGAAAAGAATAACACCAAGGACCCTAGAACTCAACTTGTCTACCCAGCAGGACGCAGGTGTATCATCAACCCCCCTCACCACCACCACCCAGGGAACAACAACAACAAACATGGCTGACTCCCCCTACAACTCCACTCCCTTCAAAGGATTCACCCATGATAACTCAGGTATGATTATTCCTGACAATATCAGGGACTACATTGTCGCTCTAGAAAGCGAAATCAAAGATGTTAAAGCAGCACTTGCGCGACGAGAATCCAAGATAACCAACCTCGAGAACAAGATCCAAAATCTTGAAGAGAAGATTACATCGGGAAGTGCTGATGCAGAAAATACTCTGAAATCAGTTATAGCCAGTAAAAGTTATTGTGCAAAACAATGAAATCAAAGAAACACGTTTGCTAGGAAAACAAGGTAGTAAACACAATATTATGATCAGACTTCATTCATATGATAAAAGAAAGGTCTTAATTAAATCAGCAATTACAATGAAAAATGGAGTGTACATCAACGATTGTCTAACGAGAAAACGTCAAAACCTTCTGTTCAGGTTGAGAAAACTTAAACAGGAAAACAAAATACATCAGTGTTTCACTTGAGATGGTAAAATACTAATTAGAAAAACTTCAACAGGACAACAATACACCATCTCAAATGAACATGGATTTCTCTGCCTTCCTTAGAAAAGCTGACATTTCTGTAACAGATTAGATAAGTGTCCTTAACACATATATACGTGTGGTGCATATAGTGTACGTTACCATTATATTATTGTGCATTATTATTATTTACTATTACATTATTGGGGTCGTCCTCGAAAGGGTTGGAGAGAGGGGGTAAAGGAGGTTTTGTGGGCAAGGGGCTAGGACTTCCAGCAAGCGTGCGTGAGCGTGTTAGATAGGAGTGAATGGAGACGAATGGTACTTGGGACCTGACGATCTGTTGGAGTGTGAGCAGGGTAATATTTAGTGAAGGGATTCAGGGAAACCGGTTATTTTCATATAGTCGGACTTGAGTCCTGGAAATGGGAAGTACAATGCCTGCACTTTAAAGGAGGGGTTTGGGATATTGGCAGTGTGGAGGGATATGTTGTGTATCTTTATATGTGTATGCTTCTAGACTGTTGTATTCTGAGCACCTCTGCAAAAACAGTGATAATGTGCGAGTGTGGTGAAAGTGTTGAATGATGATGAAAGTATTTTCTTTTTGGGGATTTTCTTTCTTTTTTG